CCCACCTTTTATTCCAGTTTTACATTTAGTATCTTAAAGGATCTTTTTTATTCTACTCTTGATCTCCCCCAACGTCTCTGCTTCAGCAGCAGTATAAGGAAATTCATAATCCTTGACAAAGCAGGGAAAGATAGCATGGAAGAAGGGTGTTAGAGCCAGTGATAGCTCTGAATTTAATGTGCACAAAGGTGTTTATAAACATACAAAACCAAGCAACTGTGTATGTACTGTCATAAGGATGCCTTTCCAAACTTCATCGAACCTTAGACATGGGATCAAAGCATAATATCCTTGAACCCTGGAGGTGAGCATGTGATTCAGCCTGACTGTGGATTCAGAAGTGACATTGATCATTTGCGCTTCACATGAGCACTCCATCCTTATCTTAATCTGTTTTTCTGTTGCATAATTGGATACTGCCAGATGTGGTAACTTATAAAAAATAAAGGTTAATTCAGCTCACAGCTCTGGAGGCTAGAAAGTCTAAGTGAATGGCACTGCCATCTGCTCTGCCAAGGGCCTTCCTGCTGGATCACAGCATGGTGGAAGGCATCACATGGCAAGACAAGGCAAACTTACTAGCTGTAGTCTTTCTACCTCATCTGTAGTCACTAATGCCATCATGGAGCCCCATACAGTGACCTCATCTAATTACTTCCCCAAGGCACAACTTTCAAATAAAATTACCATATGACTTTGGGGAGTGAGAAATTTGGGGACGCATTCAAACCATAGCAATGCTGCTCTTCCTAAACAATGTGATTGTCAGTCTGGCGGGCAGAAGAGCTCTAACTTATCAGCTATAACTTACCAGACACTTGTTTTCTATAAGCCATGTGTATATGGCTATAGCAGAGAAAAGTCTGGAAGTGAGAATACGGCTGGTCCACAGTAATCAGTCTCCAATACATTCTTTGTTATTGAGGCTATACATGTAATAACAAAGAAGAAACGAGTAAGGCTAGTGTTGAACTGGCAAGTGTGTGGCCAGTTGAAAAAGCTATATCAGAATGAATTCCAAAGCCAAAGTTTTACCTGTTTTACAGTGGGTTATTGTACACTTCTGTGAATGCCAATTACTCATTCCCTACATACAGTTAATGGCTTTGCCAGATGCTTTGCTGTTTCTTCCCCATCTAGTCATATGGGTTTACCTGTGAAACATAGGTTAAATAACAGGGTACTTTCTACAATGAGAGAGTAGATAAAATGTGCATAAGCTGGCTAGTACTTGGCTGTTTTTTTTAAAACTCTGGACTCTTTTGCTGGCATCCATTCACTTTGGAATCATTTACTGTGACTTTCTCCTTCTAGAATGAAATGGAATAAACATGAAAGTGGTTTAAGAAGGCTTAAATTTGTATTAATTTTTAAGGAGCTACAGACAGAGCAATGTTAAGTGATATGGAAGTTCAGTCCTTTATTTATTATAAGTGTGCTAATATTTAGGCTGTAATCCCAGCTTCTGGGGAAGTAGAACTCAGGAATATCATTGTTTGAGGGCCAGCCCAGAGAAAAGTTAGTGAGACCCCATAGCAATCAATAAATCGGAGGTGGTGGTACACATCTCTAATCCCAGCTATGTGGAAGGCCATAGGTAGAAGGATCACAGTCTGAGGTAGCCCAGGGCAAAACAAACAAAAAACCATGAGACCCTACCTGAAAAATAACTAAAGCAAAACAGGACTGGGGGTGTAGTTCAAGTGGTAGAGTGCTGCCTAGCAAGCCTGATTCCCTGAATTGAAGCATAGTACCACTCCAAAAAGAAGTTTAACGTTTTTGTTCACTTGATTATATGTTGATATTTGTTATGAGCCCTAGTCTAAAATGCCTTAATGTGATTATCAACAGATATGGGGGTCCATATCTTTATTCTTTATTTCTTTAATAATAACTAGGATAGTAATTTTTATTCTTTATTTCTTTAATAATAACTAGGATAGTAATTTTAGCTTGAGGATTTGAAAAGCCTTGTAATCAATATGAGTATGTTGATAAAACATATAAATGAAGCAAGCACTGTACCTGGAATTGGCAGGCAGTATTGCACAGAAGGTACTGTTTTTGTAGTTTCTTAGTTAGCTCATGAAAATTTGGAAACAGAGTTTAAAAGGAAGGTGAAAATGAAGTTGCACTTTGCTCTATATTTCTTAACAGTTTTGCACTAATTTTTAAACAGAAAATTTCTCCTAGGTATCTTTTGAACTATAATTTCAAATCCTCTACAATGGCAACATTGTTCCATGATTCCTCTCGCTGACTAGACAGTATTAACTGTGTTAAGTGTGCTGCTTTTAGATGCTCCTGTAAAGCAAGCAGAGCGCTCATTGCTAGTGTAGTTCTGTGGAGCATGGTTACTTTCTCAAGCACATCACTAACATTTTGTGGGTAGTTGTATGGTAAGGTTTCTTCAGTGTGGTAAAATCCTGTTAGGCTTGCTACGAATAAAAGTACCAGATCCACCGAAAGATTAAGTCCCAAGTCAGAAATAGGTGGAGCCTCTTCCACCCCTATCCCCATCCTGTTCACTCTTTCTCTTAACAAGTGAGAGAAGATGTAGTTGTGGCAGAAATACAGTGATGCTTAGCTTAAATTGGTAAAGGATGAATCAATTTTGAATAAGGTTTTGTTAAGGGGACTGGCTATTTGATGACCATGATTGTTTATTTGCTGCTTGGCTGGAATCTGTTATATGACTTCAGGCATTGAAATGTTAGTATATTTGTTAAATGGAGGGGTAATTCAACTTACTAAGTATAAGGTACAGATAATTCGCTGTACCTTACATTGAAAGGTACAGTGTTAACTGCACATTTGCACTTTGATATTTGAAAAGTTAAAAACGTAAATCTAAAGAGAGAATGGGCAGAGATGAAAGAATTTAGATCTTCCTGCAGTGTTGTTTTTGGAATGTGCAAATAAAGCAGTGCTGATGGAACTTTTCCATTCAAAGAAAGGATTGTTTTAGACATTGTGTTCAAATCTGTCATTTTTATTTATAGATAAATGAACTGTTTAACCCATTAGATGAAGAAAGAATGTGTTTGTTTGTTTATTTATTTTTAAGTTGGCTCCAGCCACAGTACACCTCCTCTGGCGATACTATTTAGATTAGAAGAATATTTGCAAGTATTTTTTAGTTTTCTAGAAGTTGTAATTATTTAAATATTTAATTTTTTAATTTATGTTCATTATTGCTTACCATTTATTGCTATTCTTATTTCACGATCACAGCTCTAATTATAATATCATTGCTGTAATTATAAACACTAAGGTGCCTGATGGAACTTTTCCCAAGATGATTAAGATTTAACCCTGTGTTAGTGCTGTGCACTAAGCCTTTTGGTAAAAGTGTATTTTAAGTTATATCCAGGACTCTGAGAGCGTATTGCCAGTGTGTGGCCCTTAGGGACCTGAAGGGTGCTGGGGTTAGAGCAGAGAGGGAAATGCTTTCTCCTTGGGTGATGTGGAATGTCAGGGAGTGAAAGGATAGATTCAGCAGAGGAGCTGTTGTGAAAGAGTCCAGCAGCTGCCAGGGCCCGGAGTGGGAAACCTTGACCCAGAAGAAGTGTAGGGGCTAGTGCTTTTCCAGCTGTTGGAGTAGCCCCTGGCTTCTCCCTTCAGGGAGAGGGAGAAGGAAGCCAAATAAGTGAGGCTCCTGATCTACACTCAGCCTCATGAGCATAGTTCCACTTTACAATAAACACACTCAGAGCTCACAAGCACAGTTCCACATACAGTAAAGTATGTATTTTATATTTGGGGTTTATATTTGAGAAAGAGATTCTGCTGTTAAATTGAAAAAACACAACAACTCATTGCTCAACACTGCTAGAGTGTTAGAAAATGGCAAGAACCTTATATAAGCAGGAAACTAAGGAAGATGAGACTTTTGAGAATACATAGTTGGTTCTGTGAACCTTTTCTGGATCTTATATACCATGCCACTTTGGCTCTCAATTGAGCAAGATGAAGGATTTGTAGTGATTTCTGGAGTTACTGTTACAAAATTAGGTACAATTGTGCATACCAAATCTATTACATGCTGCTTTCTAGGGATTAGGTCACTTGAATTTTAGAGGGTTTTGTCAATCGCAGAGGTTCAGATAATCTTAAATCACATGCAAGGAACAGGTGGTATCATTAAGATTGAAAAATCAAACCAGGCTTTACCTTACCTATAATTTTACCTTTTGTTTTTTGAGTGTACTAAATTAAACTGTGGAATTGAAAACAAAATATGGCATTGAAAAATGGAAATAAAAACGTGTATCGTTATTGCCAGGCAACTTACTTTCAATCGGTTTATGTACAACCTATTTTAGAAGTACACCAGGAGACTATATTTTATGCTTTGGTATGCTACACATTTTAACATTTAAGATGGCTTCAATTCTTTATTTGTTCTTAAAAAAATTTGAAACTGATATTTTTTTTCTTTTTTCAGTACTAGAGTTTGAACTCAAGGCTTCATGTTTACTAAGCAAGCACTCTACCACTTGAGCCACTCCACCAGCCTTGTTTTGTATTGGGTATTTTCGGGATAGGGTCTCACAAGTTATTTGCCCAGGGCTCTGGCCTCGAATCTTTATCCTTCTTATCTTTGCCTCCTGAGTAGTTAGTAGTATTACAGGCATAAGCCACCAGTGCCCAGCTGAAACTAGTTTCTTGATTCCATGATTTATGTTGAGAGAGAAGTATTTTCTATTTTAACTGTTTGTATGACTTCTGAATTGAGTAGTGCATTTCTTATACAAGGATTCTGATCATTTGAGTTGAATTTGTTTGGTAGTTCTTAATCTATTTTCATTAGCTAAGCTGTTGTGAGAAAAGGCCTGTGGGTAAAACAAAATTAGCTTAGTAATTCTGCTCATTCATCCATGGGTTTTCATTTCTCATATTGAGTAGAACTAGATCAAAAGAAAATAAGTTTCCCATCCTCTGAGTAAGTCTGTATCTCCTGTCACTCTGCACTCACTTGTATATCTCTTTTCTTCTAGGTGAGGAATTTTAAATTGGAACAAGAACAAGAAAAAAACAAAATTTTGTCAGAAGCACTGGAGACTCTAGCCACTGAACATCATGAACTAGAGCAGTCTCTGGTTGAAGGATCCCCACCTCTCAGCATCCTTAGTGAGGACGAGTTCTATGATGCATTATCAGGTAACTCTGGAATCCTTCCATCTGTATTGTTGGGGATGTAGTTTACCACTTAAATGTCTTAAGAGTGGCTGTCACACAAAGCTTCCAGAATACATAGGTTGAAATGTTTCAGTGAAGCTCTCAAACTGCCTCTGTGTGTGTGTGTTTATTTAAGACAGGACTCTGAAGGTTTGGGATGAAATTTATCACTGAGTCCACCTAATATGAAAGTATATGCTATACTAAGATAGGGACACTGTTAAAACTACACACATTTTGATTTATTCCTTTATTGAGAGACCATTTATTGACTACCTTCTGGTGCCAGGTGCTAGCACATATTCTAAGGAAAGAGAGATAGGCAGTTTCTGTCCTTAAAGAAGTGAAGGATACAGATGAGTAACAATTGATTACAGTTCAGTATGCTTAGTACCAAAGTAGAGATCAGATTATAACTGGAGTAGAGAAAAGGAAGTACTTCACTTTGCCTCAGAAACACAGACTAAAGTACAGTGTAGCAGACCTACAACAAGCACAGGCTCCCGACCCTCCATCTCTGACCACTGAGCAACCTGGGGCAAGCTCTGTGACTTCTCTGTTTCTCAGTTTCTACATATTTTAAAATTGGGATAATTACTCATTTCAGCAGTAGGTTGCATGAGGATTAAATGAGTTTATATGTTTAAGTAGTGCTCAGAGTAGTGCCTGGAGGTACTTGGCACTAAACAATGGAAGACACAGGTAGAAAGTTGGAAGAGGAGGTGCTGCTAAGGAATCATAACTCTTTTTTGTTGTTTTTTTTGAGACAAGATCTTACTATATAGCTCAGGCTGGCCTTAAACTTGTGATCTCCTGCCTCTGGCTCCAAGTGCTGGAATTACAGGCATGTACCACCATGCCTGGATGAGTTTTGATCTTTTAAGAATTGACTTTAGAAATTTTGAGACAGGTGTGAGTGGGGGAGGGAAAGATAACATCAAAGAAAGTAGTTGAAAAGCAGTGAGATTGAGAAAAATTATTATGGAAGAAAATTAAATGCCTGTATATCAAGTGAATAGACACAATACCTGGGCTTCACAAAACTTGACCATGGAAGCAGGAAGTCTCTGTGTGTATGAAGTGAAGGACCAAATTCATAGCAAGAAATGAGATCTAGTAGAGATGAGAAGTAAAGATTAGGCTGACGATAACCTGACAAAGGAAGAGATTGGAGGATGCAGACTTCGAGAATCCATTCATTGTATAAGAGAAACAGAATCAAACAACAGTAGAGGTTTGAAAGAATTAGAACAAAAGGAAAAATTAATTGCCAGAGTTAGGGATAGAGAAAGAAGATAATGCTGATGATGGTGTTGTCAGCTAAATATGGGATATATGAAAAGAGGGACTCATTTGGGAAGGAAAGGAAAAGGCGAGACTTGAAAGCACAATGAGTGTGTGGCAAGGTGAAGGAAATGTTCAACGTGACTGAGGGAGGTAAGTGACATTGAAGATGCTGACATTTATTGCACATCTTTCCCTGTGCCATGTCCATTGGTGTTCCTTCTAAGCAGGGCATCCCAAAAGGAAGTCACTGTAAAGATCATAGGATTAAATACATAGTGGTTTGAATATAACTAGCCCAGGTACTTTTGCTGCTCATCTTTAATATTCTTAACAAAAAAAACTTAACATTTTCACTAAAATTCCCCATGTTTGTTATGAACAATTCAATATAAAAATACAGAGCCCAGTGAATTTCTTCCCTCTTATTTGTTTCTCCCTTCTTAATTAATCATCCACTATTACTCAGGTTTTTAATGGCCTAATAATACTCTCTTCCAGGCCATTTTTTAAAGAAAAATTTTGTGGAATTGGAGTGTGAACTCAGGACTTCCCACTCGCAAAGCAGGTGCTGTACCACTTGAGTGATACTGTCAGTCCATTTTGCTCTGGTTATTTTGAAGATAGGTTCCTGCAAACGATTTGCCTGGGCTAGCCTCGAGCCCAGTCTCAGCCTCCCAAGTAACTAGGATTACAGACATGAGCTACCAGCTGCTAGCTCCAGGCTTTTAAAAAGCATTCATGTGTGTGTGTGTGTGTGTGTGTGTGTGTGTGTGTGTGTGTGTGTGTGTGTGTGTATACACACATGTATGGATTTTTAAAAAATCATGAATAAAAGTAGCTAGATAACTATTCTGGATCAGCTTTTTCATTTAACAACTTGTCTTGGAAATCTTTTCCTTTAGCTTATTCTTTTTCAAGGTGTGTGAAAGTTTGTTGTACAGTTGTATCACTATTTCTTTAACTATTCTCTTCTTAGTAGACATTTAGGGGCTACTGTCACTTTTCTGCTATTCCATCATATTTTAACTCTCATCTCCACAGTCATTTCCTCTAGGAAGAGGAGATAAAAAGAATTATAGCCCCAGGTCAGGGTTGGCAAATCAATTTCATCTCATGTTCCAATTCCGGTGGGTTTGGGTCTTTGCTGCTTTATGATAGCTATATGGAGAAGGTTCCTGAGGGTGAGTCAAAGTGTGTGGGCTAGTCAGTCAGCACATGCTACCATGGCCATGGGAAGTGAAGGGTAAGACAGGTTCCAAGCCTGGAGTGGCCACAAAACATTGTTACATTTACTTGACACAGTTGGTCTCTTGTGGCCACTTCTACTATTTCGTACTACAACTCTTGGGAATCATTTGGAATAATATAGAAACTGCATTAAAATTAAGAGTCAGATACCCTCAATTCAAGTCTTGACCTACTAGTGATCTGGCCACATAATTCATTGAGTTCCTAACAGCCCTCATTTGCTAATGGCTTCGTCTTCTCCCCATAATGGCTACATGGCAACCTCTCTCCCCATATCCGCCTTCATTTCTGCAGTGAAAAAAGAAATGTGCTCCCTTATTTAAGGCCATGCCTTTCTCATTTGTCCTGGTACTCGTCTCCTTGTGCCTTCTCAAAGAGATGTTTGTTTAATTTATTGCTTCAGTTCTGTGTTTTCAATATCATACAACTTTAAAATACTAACTTAAAATTGGACTCAAACAGTGAAATTTTACTCTCTTACAGTTCTAGGGGTCAAAAGTCCTAAAATCAAGGGGTCAACAGGGCTGAGTTCCTTCTGAAGGCCCTAGAAGAAAATCTTTCCTTACCTTTTCTAGCTTCTAGAATCCTACCTGTATTTCTTGGCTCAAGGTCCATCCTCTGTCTTCAAAGCCAGAGTCAGACTTTCAATCTCTTTCTGACTCTGACCCACCTACCTCCCTTTTAAAAGGACCCTTGAGATTACATTGGACTCACTCAAGCAACTCGGAATAATCTTTCCAGTTCAAGATTTTTAACTAAAATCTGCATAGTCCACTTTACTAGGTAAGGTAGCATGTTCACAGGTACAGGAGATTAGGTCTTGAACAGCTTTGAGGAACCATTATTCTGACTACTACAATTACAAAATTTGTGTCTCCCAACCCTCAGCTCTTACATACTTGACTGTCGGCTTGATAAGGAAAAGAATTGAATCCTCAATCTTCCTTCCAGGTCCTGTTCCTCCTGGGGTTAGCATCATTTAAGTAAATGGCTCTCCTTTCATCTGAAGACAGAAACAGAGAATGATTTTTGATGTTCATGTGCCACATCCATGAAACATTTCAAGCCCTGTCTATTCAACCTTCAGATCATACCTTCAATCATCTGTGTCCTATTACTGTAGGATAATGGTTAATAGTATAGGTGCCAAGTCTGAAGGCTACTGATAAATCAACATCCGGCCAGTTTTTAATGCCCATGGGAAATGGGTTGCAGGATTATTGTAAGGACTAAATTAATATTCATAGTGTACTTAAAGCAGCACCTAGTGCATGCAAGGGTTGTAAATGTGTTCACTCATTATTGTCATCCCATCTGCACTCATTCTCAACTCTTAACTGACCACGTGTCCTGGCAAAGTTCATTATGTGTACACCATCCCCAGTGATCCCCAGTCAGCCTTCCTTACCTGCAGTCCTTTGTGGCTTCTCATTGCACCTAGAATTAAACCCAGCCATCTTAGCAGGCCACCTCCAAGGTTTTCCCATGATTCTGCTCCTGCCTGTCTACTCACCCCTTTGTTTGTCACCTTTCCCCCGACTTGTTGTACCCTGGCTGCACTGGTCTTCCTTCAGGCCTCAAATGTAGTTTTGGCATCATACAATTGGATACATAGTTAAATGAGAGCAAGGGAAAGTCTACAAACTTATATCTTGTTTGAAGCTTAATTTTAATTCCTAATTAAAATGGTATATTAAACCAAGCCTATCTTAACATTGAGAAGATGAGAAAAAAATAATTTTAAAGATACTACTCTTAAAACATTTTAAGGTTATTTTCACTAAACACTTTAAATCTTCTTTTAAGAAGTTGCTAGCTTGTGTCACTTCCTTTAAAGTAGCCTAGATGGGAAGTCCATGTGATTTCCTGTGAAAGTCCATGTGATTTCCTGTTTTCCTTTATCATGTCCCCTTAAGCTTTTTCAAATAAGTAGGATCAGTAGAAATCTACTAATATGATGGGTGAGACAAATCCTGATACAGAGCCAACAGGGCAGTTCAATAATTTTTCCAGCCCTGAACAATGTCGTGAGAAAATTATTTTTCCAGTTTAATAACTGAAGATTTCATAAAATTCCATAATGGGAACAGATTTCTTTTTCTGAATTTGGTTGAATTTCATCTGGGTAACATTATTTGAAAGAAGATAAATCTTATGAACTATCATCTTTTGTCTTCATTGTGTGTGGAGGTGTATGATTGAAATGGTATGTTAAGTAAAAATGCAAATATAAGTGAACATTTTCTGAAAAAAAGCTAAACACATGCATATTGAAACAAAAAAGGATTTAATGAGTAGCTAAATGCTAGCGAGTTGTGTGGAGAAACTTCATTCTGCCACCAAATAAAGTTATAGAAATACTTTATGGAAAAAGAAAATGATTCTTTCTACATTTTCCACCTGATCTGTTTCATTTTGTTGTTTTATGCTGCCCTCATCTCTACCAA